TCACCCAGGACCTCAAGTGGGAGCCGACCATCAGCTCCCTCATCAAGAAGGCCCAGCAGAGGATGTACTTCCTGCGGCAGCTCAGGAAAGCCAAGCTGCCTGCACAGATGTTGGTGCAGTTCTACACGGCCATCATCGAGTCCATCCTCACCTCCTCCATCACCGTGTGGTTCGCTGGAGCCACAGTCAGGGACAAACAGAGACTACAGCGCATTGTGCGCTCTGGCAGAGGAAGTGATCGGCCGCAGCCTTCCATCGCTGCAGGACCTGTACGTCGCCCGAGCTCGAGGCCGGGCTGGTCGTATCACAGCCGACCCCTCTCACCCTGCACATGGACTATTCCAACCACTCCCCTCAGGCAGGAGGCTGCGGTCCATCAGGACTAGAACCTCCCGCCACAAGAACAGTTTCTTCCCCTCTGCTGTTGGACTCTTGAACACTTCTTAACCTGTCCCCCCGCCCTTTATAAAGTCACTTTACTGCCCATCATACGTCACTTTACTTCACTGTACTGCTGTCACCTTACATTGTGTGCACCATGTGCACTTGTATATTGTAAATAGTAACTGTAACTCTATTTTAAATTTAAATTTATTCTTTAGAAGTGTTTTTTATTCTTATTTTTATTATCTCTTTTTGACTGTTGCACTGAGCCAAAGCAATTTCCAAGTCTGTGACCTCCCGTTACTTACGTTGGCAATAAAAATGATTCTGATTCTGATTCTGATTCTGATTCTGATCCTTAGTGTTATAATGTTTTTTCCTCTTTTTCATAATGTATGTGTTTAGTCTAATGCATGTTCGAGTATCGCTCTTTAGTTGAATCATGAGTTCTTAAAATAGTTTTCACTGCTTATTATCTTAATATATTCACTTACATAACATTTAAACACACGTGCCATATACGCCCCACAGCCCAGCCACAGAAAAACAGCCTTGGACTCCCATTAGTTTCACGTACGCTCCCCGGACTCAAATGGAAGCCTTTAATGAGATGTAGACACGTCAATAATGTAGCCCTTTATTACAGAAACACAAATCTTTGTTCATGTGACTAAACTGGGGTCGTTGTGTCAGCATCTGAAAGGAGAAACTGCTGAGTGCAAATCCAATCACTCCTTCATGCCAGAAAATTGGTGCAAGAAGAAATGGTTATTGGACTTGCATGACCAAGGATCTATTACGATATCGGTGCATGACTTATTTGGCCTGTTACTCATGCAGCTCTATTGCGTCTACATCGGCGTGTTTATAAGATTTAAAAGTCCTGTTTTATGCCCTTTTTATTAGACGTCATCATTTAGCACTGACCACAAGTTATTTAGTCTTGGAATGAACATAAATCATCTTTTTCCACCTCTTTATTTTCTGTGAAGCCTGAATTGTGACTTTTGTCTTTGCCATTTATATATATTTTGTTTAATCATTTTGATGTTGCTTTGGTGGTAAGAGTAATAAGGTTATTTTTTTTAAATTCCAGAATATGTATAGACTGGAGATTGTCGGGCAGTGCACAACATAGCCAGTCTTTTCAAATGAAGCAAAAATACTCCCACAAACTCCATTCTTTATGATGAACAGAAATGAATAGGCAGTGCCAACACATTTTTATGATGGCGGATTTCATTTCTGTCAACATTGCTGCTCCATTTTATTTCATCCCGTCTGCATGTCCAAACACACACGCCAGATAAGCTTTGGACCACTATTATCTTTGTTGCCATCAGGAAAGTGGATTTTCTGATACTAGTACAGGCCCTTTGGTCAAACTAAATCCGGTTTGTAGTCTTTCCCTTGTCTCTGCGGATGTCTTAATGGACGCTGGGATTTGAGTTTTTTTGCTCAAAGCTAATTTCTGTCATTCTGTGCCCCCTGTGTGTCTGTCCTCTATGTAAATCGATCAGCCCTGGTTCCAGTATGAGGCGGGGGAGCTGATGTTGTGAGCAGTGGGCAGAGCCTGAGGCGGCGGGCTGTCTGGCTCACGCACTCTGGAGCACATCTACAGTTGACCCCCTGCAGCACTGACGACTCAATCACAGCCTCTAGAGCTGAACATATGGGTCAGTGTCCCGTGACCCGCTTTTGCAGCTATCGGCATCCACCAATATATTGAATGATAATAATACGTAGGTCTCGTTTTCCAAAACGTGATAATATTTACAAGACAAATGACACACATTCAAAATATTATCCATGTTTCTGCATGTTTCGTAGCCTTGGTCAGAATTTGTCGCATTCCGTCATGTTGTGCTGTAATGCGGTATTGTTTTTTATCCAACATATAAACTTTTACTACCCTTTACAAACCCTTTATATCAATCCCGTCTCTGTGTGCTTCATCTTCCACACATTAATTACACTTATTATATGTGTGAATGTTCTTTTCAGGCACCTCTACACCTCAAATGGAAATCAGCTTTGTATTTAAAACTGGCACATTTACAGAAATGTTTGAATAATGGCTATAAATAGTGACAAGGCAGGTCATTGACGCGCATTGTGACTATTCAAATAAACAGTACTGTATACTATTCATTCATAGCAAATGAATAATATACAAACGGAACACCCAACAGCACACATTTATAAAAGAGGCCGCTTAACAGGACACAAAGTAGGCCCTCCTGTGACATATTATCATCAATATTCCCACATCAGCCTTTGGTGACCCTTAGGAAATGTCCTTCCTAAAATCACTTTCTACTACTGTCCCTTTTCCAAATAATAAAATGACATATTCCCTCAGGCTCTTACGCCTGGTTTCACAAACACAGAACACATGCTTCTGGGACAGTCCCACAAAGAACTGCCATATGCCCTTTGCTTTATGTTGGATAATAGCAGCAGCAAAATGACCAACTACTAGAGGCAATAAGATAAAATGTGTGTGTGCTTTTCTTTGTGGCACCTGCTTAATCCTGAGGATCACAGCTCAATATGCTTTGTTAATCTCTCTGGCTAGCTGTACATGCACTCCAGTCCCTCACAACATCTATCTTGGTTTTCAAGGGCTGACCCAAATACTTCTGAGCTGAATGACTCTCACAGCCAAAGCTCCCGGGATTCAAAAGTCATCCATTCTTTAGCACCACTCATACTTTTGTGGACTTTCTTGTAAAATGCCATCACTATCGTTCATATCCCCCTCACATGTGGCCACACACGGCTCTCCTTCATACCATCCTCTACTCATAGCATTGCCTCAATATTTTAGGCCACAGTTTTCACATATAAAGCTCTGATACCACTCCAGTGTGGCAAGGGGATTGAAGTTGGAAAAGGCGCGTAAAAGGGATTACGGAGAAGCATCTGAATTTACAGAAAAAATAGCTGGGGGCACTGTGCACAAATGCTGCTCTCATTTTAGAATCCAGCACATTGGGACCACCCGTATAAGTTAAACTAGAAAGAACATTGAGAAAATTAATTTCAATGAAGACATTTCAATTTGTCAATTGATATTTTGTATACAAAGATCAATCATTAGATTTTCCAAACTATAAAATGGCTGCAGTACATTCATAATAATGAAGCTTGAATCCTGACTAGAACCAGGAAGTATGATCACTGTGAAGTCTCTCCACAATGTTCAAATTATGTTTAGCTCTGGATTCAAATAAAGAATTGTATCTGTATTTCATTTAAGTGTGTATTGTGTGATTATTTATGTTTTACCACTTTATAGTTTCCCTCTCTATGAATTGTGCCATACAAATAAACTTGCCTGATAATCCTTGGTGTGATGTTGCACCCAGGGTGTCCCAAGTCCGGGTGATGGGTCAGAAAAAATCCAAGATAGATTGTGAAAAATTGAGGATTATAATTTAGCCCCCTTTGATGCAGCCAGTGGTCAAAGACAAATACTTCTGCGACATCCAGGATGTTGAATGGATTTCTTTTTCTACAATTAAATTCAGCTATGTAAGTACATAGGGATTCATGTTGGCAAATGTAGATTCAACAAAGTCATTCTGCTGAAAAGTTGTCATTCATTTAGTTAATTATCAGGCAGCCAGACTTCCGCTCAGGGGAATTCTGCAATCTGCATGAGAGAGCTGCTATTCTGTGGCAGATCACCTTGGATTTGTGAGCAAATCAATAGTACATACTGAATATGTTCTGCAGTGTGAGCCCAACACTTAAACTAATGTTAGTGGTTAGTGAGGCCCGTGATGAGCTCCACATGTCATTTGGAAGGTCGATGGCTCTAATTTACTTTTCTTGTTAGTTTAGTTACTATTTCAGTCTGATAGACAATATAGAACATCACTTTAGTTATATCTGTGTAATAGACTGAGCCGTGGGCCTGGAGGGAGATACATAGTCCTAATGTAGTGCCTAGTGTTGTCGTGTCACTTCGATGAGTATGTGACTCTTCAAGTTGTTGGATCTGAACTAAACATGCTGTTCCTCCTTGATAATAACAAGTGTTTCCGCTCTCTTTGTTGAGCACAGCCATCTGCTAGCACCTAATGGGGTTGGAGCCTCTCAAGATCTCCTAAATTATTGAATTTGAAAATCTTCTAAGGACTTTCTAAACGTTGAATTGAATACGTATTTAGACAGTGACATTCTTACAATAAAATAATCGGTCCGCTGCCTCTGCTTAACTGTGCTCCATCATGTAAGGACTATAATCTTGGATTACGGCTCCTAATTCTGAATAATGATTGCTGGCTCAACTCGCTTTTGTGTCTTTTGGCCGCAAGTCAAAATTCATATTTGTCAATTGGTCAGCGGCTTCAACTGCAGAGTTTTTGTCTGAGTTTACATAATTTTTGACTAAGCCAAACGTGTGTGTGTTTGTAAAGTATCATAACTAATTATAATATTATTATTGACAGATTATATAAGAATCACAGTAATAATGAATATGACTAATAACTTTACCTTCTGTGTCTTTCAGGGTGGAGGTCAAAGGTTACCAGCTCTCTGTGAGGATTTAAGAAATAATATCACACCTGCATCACACAAGAGAAATAGAGATTCTTTTCTCCATGATGGCCCCTGGAGGTGTAGCTACACTCCAGAGTCTGCTGATCCTGCTGTGTGTGGTGCCGCAGATGGCCACAGCCACCATTCAAGGATACATAGGAGACATGGACATATGCCCCTCTGAGTGCAGATGTGATGAGGACTTTATTTACTGTAATGATCGTGGACTGAGCTCCATCCCATCACTGCCTCCCACAGCCTCAGTGCTCTACCTTCAGAACAACCAGATTAACAACCCGGGCCTCCCAACTTCACTAGAGCACCACTTAGCTGTTCGTGTGGTCTACCTCTACGACAATGAACTAGATGAGTTCCCTCTTCATCTGCCTCCCTCTGTGCGAGAACTGCATCTGCAGGACAACAACATCCGCACTATCCCCCGCAGTGCACTGGCGAGGATGCCTTTACTGGAGAAACTCCACCTGGACGACAACTCCATCTCCACCGTCAGCATCGAGGACCAGGCCTTTGCAGACAACCCACGTCTGCGCCTGCTCTTCCTGTCTCGTAACCACTTATCCAGTATTCCTTCTGGACTGCCTGCATCTCTAGAGGAGCTCCGCCTGGATGACAACCGAATCTCTACAATTCCAACTCATGCTTTCCGGGGCTTAGCATCTCTTCGATGTTTAGTCCTTGATGGGAATCTCTTAGCAAACCAGCGCATTGCAGATGACACATTCTCTCGTCTCTCCAACTTAACAGAATTGTCTCTGGTGCGTAACTCTCTTCAGACACCTCCTGTCAACCTGCCCAGCTCCCATCTGCAGCGTCTGTCTTTGCAGGAAAATGCTATGATTCACATCCCGCGAGGCTCCCTGGATGGCATGCACAGACTGCAGAGACTGGACCTGTCTGGGAACAACCTGACTACTCTCCCCAGGGGCCTCTTCAAAGATCTGGACAATCTGGCTCAGCTGCTGGTGCGGGGCAACCCCTGGCACTGTGGCTGCAACCTGCGCTGGCTGTACGACTGGCTGAAGGCGCGCAAAGGCATCACTGTAAGGGGCCTCACCTGCCTGACACCAGATCGTGTGCGGGACATGCCCTTGATGGATCTGGGCAGTGAGATGGAGGAGTGTGAGGTGATAAGGACTCCCGACAGAACAAACAGGATTCCAACTGGCATGGATATCGCCACTACTCAAACTCCACCACAGGGCTCGCTGTTCACCTTGCGCTCCAACAAGAGAGGCCCAGTCCTTCCTGACATAGACTACACTCTGAGCAGCAGTGGAGTTGGAAAGAGTCTGGCCCTAAATGTGAAGCCTCTGTCCCACAGCAGCGTGCGTGTGACCTGGAGCGTGGCTCAGCCCAGCTCCTCTTTCAGGCTCAGCTGGCTCAGACTGGGGAATGAAAACAACCGTGACTCTATCACAGAGACCCTGGTGAGGGGAGATAGACGCGAGTACCTGCTGACAGCTCTGCAGCCGCGCTCCAGCTACATCATCTGCATGGTCCCACTGCCTACAGAAAACAAAGGAGGTATGCCCACTGAGTCTGATGAAGCACTGGTGTGTGCAAAAGCAGAAACCGCAGACCTCAGCTCATCAGAAGACGAGGATGATGAAGACCCTCTACAGATTGTGAATCTACCATTAGCAGGAATCATTGGTGGTGCTTCCGCTATTGTGTCTCTGGCTCTCATACTTGGCTTCTTCTGCTGGTATTGCCATAGGACTGGGCATTTATGCTCTCGCGACCATTACACTAGAAACAGCTCGAGAAAAAGTAAGACCTATGATGATTACATTGAGTCTGGCACTAAGAAAGACAACACTATATTGGAGATACGAGGGCCGGGATTCCAGATGACACCGATGGCCGCTTGCCCATCAATGCAGCCTAAGCCTCTACGAGAGGATTATATCATTCACACCATTTTCCCATCCAATGGCACTGGTCTATATAAAGGAGACAACAGTGTCTCCAATTCAGGACATGGCACCAACAGGGGCTATAGAGAAGGCGGGATTCCAGACATTGACTACTGTTACACATGATGTACTAGACTAGACTCGTTCACGGTGGTAACAGCAGACTGTATAGATGCACAATTTCCCTTCGCATGAACACTGAAGCACCCCTCTGTGCCTTCTTCTGGTCTCCCATTCCAAAATGACCTGCTGTTTGAGGCAAAGAAAAGTGTGTGATTAACTAGCTCGACCAACTGCGTGGGAACAGTTCACGGCAGGTGGCAGCAGTCGGTGCCCCAGGTGTAAATGCACAGCTGACTGTTTCTTCACGATCTTAGTAACAGCATATTTTATTTTCAGCTCTTTCCCTCTGACGTGTAGGCAGTGAATGTAAATCCTATAGAAAGGTCAAAGTGAAAGAGATGCACTCCAATTCCACACACAAGCGGCCATTCATCACTCAGATACAGCGCATAGTGTTATCAACTCATTGTTCCAAATGCCTCAACTATATCGATGTGCCCTACCAGCGATCAAGGGAAAGGGCTTTGTGAAGCTGTGAATTGTTCAATTTCAAACCAACCCAATAACCACTTGTCTTAAAGTAGGCTTGTTTTTCATTAGCTGGCAGGCAGAGCGCGGGTCTCATCAGGACGGATTGCCTCGGTTTTACCTCTGAGTTCAGTATTGTAGTGTTGCATCAGACAGTGGTGCGGCACACTTGTAGATAATTTCCTTGAATACAGAATATGCTAAAAATGCTTTGCTATTTTTATCAGTGGTTTGTTGGTGACTCTACGTATGCATTGCTCTTTATTATTGTTTAATTTATTTTCTTATGTAATGTTTTAGTTCATTTGATACATGTTGTTTCCATAAAAAGAAGATCTGATAAAACAATGATGAACATCTATGGGACGACCAGCATGTCGACATATGACCTTCAGTCTTGCCTTTTGATTTGTGTGTCCTTGTGCTAAACCTGTTACTTTAGTAAAGTCACTTTCTGTTTTAAGTTGAATATGTTTTTCTCCACACTTTAAAAATGAACTACTAAGTTAAACTCAATTATGATAAACAAATGAACAGAAAAGCAAAGGTGGGACAATGTTCATTCACTGTAGCAGAATTCTTGGGTTTCATTAAACTGGCCAGTAGGGGGCGTAAGAGCAGAGATGGGACTACTCAGTTTTGCTCCCATTGAGAACCATGTAAACCTTGTCTGTTTTGGAGTCAAAGCAGACACCGCACTCACCCTGTGCGGTGTACGGTTGTTGTAACAGTCTTAATCGGGAGGGGGACGCTCATTTCTAAAGGTGTACTAAAAAATATTTCTCAAAAGAATCTTGGATACGTCACGTTCTGTCCCACGGTTGTTACTCGCACCACTGCCCTGACGTCATATGAAACCCAAGAATAAATAAACAATAGTAATATGAACCTAAAGTATGAATTTATGGAGACACTTTACAGTATAACAGATTTAATTTATTTAAAGGTGCATTGTGCATATTTTTAGATTGATATCTTGATCTTAGTAGTGACGCAGCGACTGTAAGTGTGGTCAACATGGTGGAAGGTTTCTCTGCTGATTGACACCTGGACAAAAAGTAGTAGAAGATCAAAGTCTGTGAAGACAACTTTGACAGCCGCTTGGTCACTACAAGGTCAAATTCGCTAAAATAAAGATACATTTTTTCATGTTAAAAGTTGCATAGTGCACCTTTAACAAAAAGTACAAAGCGAGAGGTTCTGAGAGAATGGAATCATGGAGACTCAAACCGCATCACTGTTGACCTGCACTGTGGGCAGAGGTTTGTTTTTGCAGCCACCTCTTTTATTACCGAGCAGCACTAAAATGTAAATGAATCAGCACTTAACAGAGAACAGAGGATGGAGGAAAGGACGTGGGAAAGGGAGTCAGGGGTTAGAGAAACATTTCATTGGCAAAGATGCAGAATTGATGACTCTGGCTGATGGTATGAGTCTGCTCTCTCTCCTTTGCTTTATATTGCCCATCTCTTATTTACCACTGTGTTGCTTCTAAAAGGAAAAACAGCTGTGCTTCCTCGACTGACGTGTAACCGGCAAAACTTTTTTCTGACAAATGTGGAAGTGGAATGTAAATTTTATCTTGCATCCAAAAATCATCAGCTGCGACATCATCCTATGATTATTCTGTTTTCAGGAATGTTGTTGAACATGTATGTCGCTATTTAACAGTGGGCCTATAAATACATCATCATTTGTATAAATAAAAATCATGGCCACAGCTTAGTGATATTTTCTTTGGTGAAAATATAGAAAGTGATGGTGCCATAACTTTGCTAATATGAGATGTGTGTCAATATTACTTTATGAATTGAGCTCCAGAGGGAATCAATAAAGTTTTATAATCTTGTTATTACTCTAACTTGTCTTTTCAACAAAAGGTTATAACACTCAAGTCTTACTAAGTCTAAGCCACATAATTATTGGGATGAAACAGATATAAAATGATCTTGTTCCTGACCTCTTATTGTGAAGTACGTAGTGTATTGTGAAAATAATTATTGCTTGAGAAATACCAAGGGCTCAGAGAGGAGCTGGAGAGGCCCTGGAAAGTAAAGGTGACAGTGGTGCCCGTGGTGATTGGTGCATTGACCCTGAAGCTGGAAGAGTGGTTACAGTGGATCCCTGGAACAACCTCGGAAATCTTGGTCCAGAAATGTGCAGTGAACAAAGATACTGCGCAGAAGCCTCAAGCTCCCAGACCCGAGCTTAGAGAGGGATAACCGCCCACAGAGAGGAGAGGATAGACTCACCTGGGAGACACCGGGAGGGGGTGACAGGGGAGTCCAGGCTCAGAACCTGTCAATGGTTCAAGTCAAACCAAAAACAAACTACAAGTTGTGATTTATTTTGTGGTCAAGAATTATATAGCGACAACCAGAGTTGGGAAAGTTACCCTATATATTGTTATTTATATAGATAGCTTGACCTTTTTTGTCTCCTGAGTGAAACACATTTTACTTACTTACTGAGATGAAGTTAGCCTGGCCTTAGCCATCCGTACACTCCGCTCAATCATCATTTCACTGCATGTAACGTCTGGATCTGGTCCCGATGTTAGCGATTACAATCGGTTGAATTTCGACCGACCAATCAGCGAGTGTGGGAAGGCGGGTGTTATAGTTAGTTGCGGGTGACGTCAAGAGTTTGCGTCGAACGGGAAGGTAATGGCAATGGTGAAAAATGCGATAGTAAAGGTAGTATGGTTCTATCAAGAAATTGAAGCCGGAGCAAGAGGAATGTTTAGCAAATGTAATCGCTGGAAAACATTGTGGCGCTACTCCCCTTGGGCTCCGTTAGCAGCAAAGGAGATGGCTAGGCTAAATGCTAAATGCTAACAACAGACTCAGGTGCACTACATACGTCACGGTAAACTCAGATCCAATCGTTTCAATCTGCAAAAGGAGTTAACCCCTCCTATCTGTAAACGGAGCTCAATGGAGCTCAATGGAGACCTTAGTACGAAATGTAATTTGTACTATGGTGTGGTACGACCAGGCTAAGATGAAGTAAGTAATATTTCTGATTTACAATCGAACTACTCTTACATTGTGTTTAAATATTGTTTCAAATACCTCTGCTGTTTCTGGATACAGAAAAGCCACATACATAGATGATGCAATAAAAATAAGTATAAACTGTGTGAAAACATTTGCAATTAATTTAAGTTACTTGGAATGTAACTTAAATGTTAATATATTAAAAATTTTAGTTTTTGCAATGAGTTACTTTATAAGTTACTCTCAGAACAAAGTGGGCACTCGCAGCAAGACAGTTTTGAGAGTGCTTTCTCTACTCTGGGGGTAGCACTGTTGTTCAGGTGGATTGAGGGATGGGGAAACTGCAGAGGACACATTTCCCTAATCTATAATCGATAATCATAAATAACATAAAAGGTTAATTGTGCTTTGCGATCTGAAACATATTTGCTGCTGAACCACAGAACAAGACTCAGTCATTGTTTAACATCAGGATCATCAGGAGTAAGTCTGTGCCACCCAAAACTCGATAAGAAACACTTTCCTATTAAATATCTTCTTGAATAATGTTTCCACACAGAAAACAACAATTGGAAGACAAGGAGTACAATCTGTAACTCTTTATTTGAAACTAAATCAATGACAAGAACTCACATCGAGGTTAACTGCGGTGAAATGTGAGTTGCACCTCCGGGACTCAAATTGGAAATATTTCATAATTCTCATAACTTCCCAGAAATATTACTTTGGCTCTGTGTACAAATCAATATTCAATAAAAACAGCATTTACTAGGATTGAAAGAGTCAGACTGATTAAAATCCATCTCTGTGAGTGCCCTTGTGGTTTAAGGACGTTATTGTCAGTATGTCCTTTATCTCAGAACATGTCAATGATGGAGATTCGAATTATGGTCTGACCGCCACAATATTCTAAAATGGCCTTACATGAACAACAAAAAACAGGCGCGTAAAATATTAAGTTGAAACCCGGGTTTTGCCGGGTTAATGCGAGGGGAGACTGTGAGATTTCAGGAGTTGCTGTTTCCTCACAGATGGGCCATCCTGAAATTATCGCCCAGATGGTTTTGTAATGTTTTCCCCAAGATTTTTACATTTGAAGTGGATGTGTTTGCCACAGACTATCAGGGCAAAAGTAAGTAGGAACAAGTTTGAGCGAATGAGGTGGATGCTGAGAAAACAAATCAAGTGATAATTCCTGAGGGTCCAACTATTTTTTCATGTTTTAAAATCTGATAATAGAAGAACAAAATCACCACCCCTCATTCCCGGGTTGCACATGAAAACACAGCCTCCATTTTTTTTATAATTTCATGGTAATTTTAGGTTTCAGGACAGACTGAATTCTGACAACATAAATCTTTTGCTTTATGGGATCAAGTGATTCTATGTTTTATTTATCAGCTTGATTGATTTTTTTGTATGTTTTTTTTATAAATTATATGATGGTTTCATGAGTTAGGAAGATTCTATAAGCTCAAGTTTCATACAATCTCAGGATATAGTGATTAATGTGATTTCTGTTGCTGACCACTGTCC